TATACTCTCTCTCTCTCTCTCTCTCTCTCTCTCTCTCTCTCTCTGCGTTTTCTATAAATTTCTTATAACATTCTAAATCATCATTCATTATTATGTTACGCAAAAATAATAGTCAATATGTTTTAATTAAATTGCGTTTAATTAAATATTAAATAAAATAAAAATTAGAAAAATAAAGAATAAATATGTATAATTTGACAAAAAAAATTCTATGTTCAATATTTAAACAATGTACAGATAAACGTGAAAGCATCATTAAATCTCCATTTTTATCATCACATATTACATCCGTATTCGGTTCTGATGAAAAATTATATTTAATATCGATATAATGAGTGTGATAAATAATTATATAATGTCAGTCGTGTTAACAAATAAAATATGCTACGCAAAATTATCAGTTTATTTAAATCGATGACGCAAACTATTAACAAAATGATATAAATTGGAATTATTTTTTTCTATTACGCAGTATATTATCTTTCAAAATGTATAATCAACTATTCTCAACAAATTAATTGTATAACAAATGACGAATAACAATTTAATGTAAATGATCGATGGCGTTAAATTAAACCAATTAAATCGATCTAATTATTTGCGGTTCTGTCGTGAATCACGAAATGCATAAAATGAAATATGCGCATTTTCACTGAATCATCTTAGAATGAACGACATTTAGATGCTGCTTCCAATGTTACACGTAATTTACCATCATTAAGGTCTAATATAATGGCATAAAATATGAGTGCGAATTACCACGGAGAATTAAGACGAGGAGGGAAAATTAAGGTAGCGCCCGCATAGCCAACTGCCAACTCCCGTTAATTGGCAAATACGTTATCAGGGATGTATGATAAAAGTCTAAATTAGTTAGACTATTGTATTCAGTTCACGAGAAAGCAGATACCTCAGAAAAAAAGTAGGAAAAAATGTAATTATAAAGAGTGGCCGATGAAATTAAGCTGACCAAATAATAATTTTATATAAACAAAGATTTTAATATCACCTAATATCCAACATAATAATCCGTTAATATATAATTAATATGTAATTTGGATATTACGATAGCATAAATGATTTCAATTTCAAAGAGTCGAACGTAAAAAATATCTTACATACACATAGGTACTCACCATTAAATTTTGTCCAATCGCACAGCGGTCAGTGCTGGCGAGGAACCTTCGTATGTGCCCTCGTTGATTAATTAATCACGGTCTCATCATATATACGTTTACACTGAATTCGCTAATATTTTATCAATTAGTATCTGTCCAGTATGATCCATTATGCGCTTTTAATGATCCTTTTGCTTCTCTCGAGGTTGTTCACCATGAGCTGATACTTCCAATCGTGAACAGCACGTTCCAGTCTTGCATAATTATATCGGGATTAACAATGTCACGATTCGGATTCGATTTTAAAATACTGATTTTAATTCTATCATTAGCTGCAATAGAGTTCTTCATCGTTATTTAATAACGATTATTTAACGTTATTTAATAACCATTTTTTGTTTTATGGCATTTATTTTATTTAATTGATTAAAAATTTATATTTTTGTGAATATTTGACATAAAATTTTGACAGTATCGAAAATTATTTAAACACATTCTTAAATATGGTCATATTTTTAGCAATAATCCGTGTAATTAAATGCCGATTTGCAAACTAATATTAGAATTGAACTTAAAGGCAAACTGAAGCGGAGCGGACATATTTAATTCTCACTCCTCGTTTGTTCCCAAGATCGGAATTCTGATAGTAGAACACGAACGGGCGACGAACTTTCATCTATGCTAAGTTCTCGCGTTTATAATTGCTATAAGAGCTTCCGATCGTTATTATTATCCCCACGGAATCGAGTTCTGAATGCAATTTGGCCAGTAACTCCCGTTGAAACTATGAGATCCGCGGAATGGGAAGAGAAAACCATTCAGTCTACAAAATTTTGTCACGTGGTATAAAAGAGGAATTAATGGAATTATTATTTCACAAATAAAACATTTCATTTCTCAGTATAACATTTTTATTTTAATTATTGATATTAGAAGTAACTAATTTTAAATATAAAAATTTGTCTCATTGTCTCATATTTTCAATTAATTTTATAATACCGAGGTTTCAATTGTGAAACTATAAGAAATTGAAGGAAACACATTGGAGAGGGAATAATTAATAAAAGTTCCAAATACTGCATTTAAAATTTCATCGATAATTGTTGCCAAACTTTTCAATCATTATTATCGCACGTCGCAAATTGAGTTTCTAACGCAATTTAAGCGGGAAGTTACGCGAGAAGTTGACGAACGGAAAATGAAAGGGGATAGAAGAGAGTTGGTTGAGAGGTTCGCAGGCATGACAAGGTGAGGGAACGGGAGAGGGTGCGTCGTATCTTAAATTTACTTCGAGTACCTCGCCGCTGTTTTCCGATAATAACGAACGCACGATCGGACGTCGCCACGCCGGCGTTTCTTTGGCGCGGATTGCACGGTTGGAAATTATGTTTGCATAATTTTCAATCTCGCGATAGAAAACACCGACGTACCGACGAGCATTCTTGCAGTGATGTACCGGAGTATCGCATCGATCCGCACGATTATTGCAAATAATTGATAGCAATCAGCTGATTGCTCCCTCATCGACCGATAACGAATATCACTGGATTAATCAACGCGACAGGATTCATTTCAAATGGAAACGCGAATTTAATCCTACCAATTGTCACTCACATCTAACACTTTTTCCTTGTCATAGGAACGACGATCGATCGCGATTATTTGCTCGTCGACACGATTACTTCGGATTGTACCGCCCGAAGTTTTGTAAGAATGGAAGCTTTGATTTCCTCGGAACTTGTCGCGCACAGAGGGTAGTCCTCGTCGCTCTTGACAACGACACAACGGGAGTAGTCGGCGAGCCTTCGATCTCACCACCCCTTAAGTACGGACCGAGAGAGCGGAGGGCATCGCGTCGCGAATTGCACTGACACTCGCAGATTCTCCGTTTCCCGCAGAAGCTTCCAACACGAACCCTCTCCCTACCCCCGGCGCGAGCTCTTACCCTCTTTCAACCCCCTCGCGGACCATGGCTTTTAGCGCAAGCGCTTGTGCTTTTCCACGGACTGCGTCCTATCCTAATTCACATCAACGTAAGTACGGTCCTGTCCAGATCGCGTGGGACACGAGAATTTCTCTCTTCGTCGCGTCATCTTGCGACTTCGATGAATTATGAGCAGTAGAAATCTTTTTATCTTTTTACTTTCTATAAAAACTTCAAATTCGTGTCAAAGTTGTTTTATAAATGTTACAAAAATAGTTTCTTGAGATTTCCAACGAATATGCAATTTTAATTTTTTTTCTTTACATTTAATCCTGTCATGTATGTTTCAATCTGTCGTTTCGTACGTAAAATGAATCATGCTAAATGAATGCTAAAGAATTTTTAGAATAATAATAAATAACCAATGTAATAAACCGATATAAGTTTCAAACAATAGGATAATAGATAATATTACTCGGCAGCTAGGATCTTATGTATCTAATAATTTTTTTATTGAATGTATACGTATGATAATATTTAATCAATAATCTTTTTGAAATATAAAAAATACTCTAAAAATAAATCGATAATTTATGCACAAGGTTTAATATGAATTTCATTATTCAACTAAAAAAAAATACGACATATTTAATTGATATGTTTCGCTTACTTTAGTATTTAATATGCGAAAGCATGAAACTTCAAAGGTCTTGGTCAATATTTGCCAGCTTATATACAGAATATGATGACTGAATTATGTACATAATAATTGACCAAATCAGAAGCATACGTCGGACTGTAATTGATAATATCGCCAAAGTAAATCAATGCGAACGATTGCGGACCGTTCGTTTATTCGCAGCAGTTGAATGCTTATTGACCAATAAAACATTTACGAGAATTTACAGCTCGCTAATACACGGTGAAAATAATGGGACAATAGCTCCCATATACAATTTTTAATTCATCGTCAAGTACCATCGTGACATTGTGTTAGTCTCGAATAATTTTATTTACAAGGATAAAATATCTGATGCAGATTATACGTTTTATTCATTTA